GAACATTAGGAACAAAATCAGTAGACTGACGCTAGACGTGAAAAACATGTTGTTTTGCAATGACACCATAAACCGCACCTGAAACTCAACCGTAGAAATGAACTGAACTAACCGCACACAACTAACTAACACAACACGAGAAAACCCTGTGAATTGCAAATTTAAGGGACTGAAAAAAATTTCCCAATAACGCAAAACGAGGTTTACAAATTTTGATGACTTTTATCCGCGGGACAGCGATTCAGCAATTGATCATCGTTACAAAGAATGAAAACAAATGGGGTTATTGTTAGGATAACATTAAACAATTCTACACCAGTTTGAAATAACAGATTATTAAGAAGTAATTGCCGACTTACTTCTTTAGTTAATGGATCCGTTAACCACATATAAGCTCCAACAGCTGTACAAATCGACGTCACCAAGAGAACAACTAAACTAAATTAATACTGATCAATATATTATTAGTGGTACTTTTCTGAACAACGCAGGCATTAATGCAACATGAAATTAAACTTGAACTACACACACTTCATGATTAATAAACACGTGCCCACCCCATCCCGTTGAGATCAACTGACATTGGATAGAAGAGTTGCAATCAGCGGTGTCTTATTTTAAACGCAGTGTTTATAGGCATGTGGCAGGTGTAGCGTGTAATCTGATGCTTTCCTTTTTACATAGTGGCAATCGTTAATGATCCTCACAAGGAAGAAAAGTGAGTGACCCGCGCGCACGCAAGGTTCGAATGAGACATCTCCATTCTAAGAATGATGCTTTACCGACAGAACAACATCGGTCTGAAGCAATCTGTGGTAAATTCTTTAATCAAGGGAATTTGTGAATAAAAGAAAGATATCGCCATCGAGCAAAATCGTACAGTTCTGAGTCCGACGGTGTGCTAGCTAACCGACACCAGTCAAACCCTCTTGACGACAAGCTACTACAGTAGCAAGAAGGGTCGAGTTTCTTACAATACCGAGCGAACCGACTACTGAAGCCCTTGAAATGGACATGAACCAATCACAATTAACGTCATCCCGAGGCAGGGGTAAAAACGTCCATACCAGTCCATAAATGAAAAACAAATCGCTCTGCCGTGTGCATGATTAAAGCGTATTAATATGACACTTCCTGCGTCGACGAAGTAAAGATTGCCGAATCATCTAACAAACATCAAAATACGAAACGTTCTAAAAACCCTGAACTTGAAATCTCATGATGCCCAAAGCAACAGGCGTGGTAACATTTCAGTCGGAAGAGTAACTAATAACAGACTATTAATGAAATTTAGAATACTGTGAATCTATTTCAATCTCATGCTAAGTAATTCAGCTTCTACAATCTAATCCGACTTTATCTATTATTGTTTTATGATTAAACTCAAAATTCTATTCTTTCCCTCTTTTATTTCTTATGCCTCCCGTTTTCTTTCACAGTTCTTTGCTTATCTTATATTTCTTCGTTAGAATAATTTATTTACCTGCTAACGCTTGTCATCCATCACAACGATGTTTGCTCTGTACGTTATTAATTTGTGCTAAACAAGTAACAGAGTAGTGTGTCCTAAAATCTTAAGTTATTATACATATTTTTTAGGCTCCTAACGACTTTCTTGATCTATGGTTATGATGAAACAAAACAGCTTTTGTACAAATTTAATTTAGAAAAAAACAAATTCGCTTACTCCGCCAGGCAGTCGTAGATGGTTGCATGTAGGCGATGACTTCCGTCAACCGACGTTCGAACGATTTCAGATCTAAAAAAACGTTGTACTGATTTCATAAGACTGATCAATTACAAAGTTACAGAGGTACAAAAGAATTCCGCGAAAATGGTCAGACAATCAAAATAAAAATTTGAAGTTTAACGTTGATTTAATATAGTACGATTTCAAAATAACACACCTCAATGGAAAAGATAGGACCGCCGTCCGTGCAAATCCCCAGAAAAAAACACTACAAAATCTTCTTCCGGTTCTCCTAATCTTGTTCTTCATCACTGCCTTATCCTGCATCTGCTTCCTCGTGGTGGTACAAAAAATATGCGGTAGGGATATCTTCTGGGTGCCTTTCTTAAACGAGATTTTTGTGTCAATTAATTGTAGCGTCAAATGATTTATGCATTAGTCATTATACTTCTCACTGTCATCATTTATATGAAATTGTTCTGACAAATCAAATGACTTTAAATGCATCTCATGTCGCAGGTGCTCTAATGCCCTTTAGGTGTCGTTTAAACGCTAGAACGCAACCAGGAACCAAGGGTCGGTGCCAGTAGACCGTGAAATCCGGTTATAGATGAGTTAAATGCTTGCTACCATGATCTGGCATATGAATCCATAGTCTTGATTGTGGTATAAGGGTAAAGAATCTCGAATGGCCCAACTGTTACCTGGTGACTTTGTCACGCGATAAGTGAATATGACAGCTGATCCGTTAGCAAAATGTGGCTCAGTCGGAACATCTTTACGTGAGAAGTTAGCCACACACAGGCAACGTCTCCTGATCCAAATTTATCATCATGATGTCCCACATCCTTTGCGAAGACATATGTTTACCTTGAGTGGCGTCGCTTTCCAGAAATTAATCCGGACCGAAACCTCTGAGCAGACATTTAAAAATTTGTTGGTTCCCAAAAACAGGCCATCCACGTCTATAAATATCCGTTCCTACTCTCTTCCTGTATTCCCAGAGATAATGGCTGGCAGATACAAAACAGTAAGAACATCAAATCGAGCGAAATATCTAATTAGAATCAAAGTGAACAATAGAAGTGGGAGTACAAATTATTGAATAAAAACTTACAAGATTAAGAAATTAAGATTAAAAAGATTCATTTTGGTTATAACTTACCTTCACACGCAGTTGCTTCCAGAGCCATTTTCACTGGCATTTGTGAAAAGTATTAGGAAAACCTAAAAACTGTAATGAAATGAGTGGAATCATAAGAATCGCGAAAAGAATATGAAATAATGGTTAAATGGGATAGCGAAAAATTTATTTTTTAGCAATAAAAAATAGGGAAAAACATTAAATCTATCATATATCACAACAAAACAGAATTACACTTGCAAACTTACAAACTACCGATGAAACCAGTGGCGACGAAGCATAGAAATAGAAACAAACCAGAAGACCATATAAGACTGACGAATTTCAACATTGCCCTTTAACGTCCGTTGGATTTCGTAGTACGCGCGGTTAAGCCGGGGTTATGGATCTTCCATACATTTGCACCCATAATGGCGAAAGCACAAAGATACCAGGATCGGATAATTGATCGGAGACACTACTGACCTTGTCAAATTAGATCCTTGTATGCAATGGATGAGTTTCATTGTCCCGGATGTTCTTATTCATGCGAGAACCGTGAGAGACAACTTAATGAAGGGCGTACCTCGGTAGGTCATAGTGTGAAAAGCAATTTATTCCGTAGATTTGTCCGACTGATCATGTTAGAGTCTTGAAGTCGCATGTGAGGAAGCAGGACCGGAAGAGTGATCGCTATGAAATATTTATTAAATCGTAAAATACATGCGAAAAAATTTCCTGAACCCATGATGTTGTCAATGAAGGTTTCTCAGACGCTTTAAACAAAATGAAGCCCTACAACACCTGATGGTAAATGACTGTACGTATGAGTACCAGGTGAGGTCAGATGACAAAATTTCATTTAAATATATTACAAACTAATATACGATGATGAGACTGTTATTATATGAACATCGTTTCAAGGCCGGGTTCCGAAAGCTGTGTTTGACATTTACTACCGTATTTGATCCTCTGCACTGCTACCAAAGTAAAATTGAAGCTGGTATAAACTGTTAATTTTAAGCAAAGTTATTATTGTTGTTAATTCAGCGTCACGAGATAACACCATCTAAGTGTTGGTGTGTCATTAAACTTCTTCACAATGGTATGCAACGACCATACTCCATTAGACATTATTAAAAATATGCTCAAAATTCCATTAATTTGTGGAAATAGTTCAGGGACTACGAACAGACTACAGCAATCTTGTCATAACATGGACAGATATAAATTGGAAAATAATATTGAAACGGGTTTAAATCGACATCTT